CTGTGAGGTTTTCAATGAATTTCAACGACTTATGTTCTTTACACCTTCTACTTTCGAATCATAATTTTATCATCATGAACTAAAAGTTCAGGATATATTGATGGAATCGAATTGCTTTCTCCTGGAAGATAATCTTGACATCATGAGGCTAGAGTCCATTCTATTAGTCCACTTTAATTTTCAAATAAAAACAAGAAAACTACTGTTCTATAATATGGGTTCTTGGTATGTTGAATTTCAGCGGCATTTTGCATGACACGTAACTCTTTAGCATAAAACTGTCTATTAAAACGAAGGCTGGGTGTAACCTAGTAGTTAAGATACCAGGATGTAAACCATAAAGTTCAAGATTCGAAATGCCGTTGAACATATTTCTTCACCCTTTCAATTGCGGATGCATTATGAAAACTAGAATCCTTTCGCTGTTTCGTTAAGAGTAGCTTTGTAGACTGAATGTGCTGCTTATCGACTGTCTTCCTTCTGGTGAGCGGATCTAACTTAAGGACGGCTATGCCTAAATCTCGGGATTTTATGACCTGGCCTTTTAACTCGTGTGTCACATAAGGTGTTATTCATTTTGAAAATACCAAATACCCATGAAAGTATGATTCAAAAAGGTTGAAACCTCATTAGAACAGTCGCTGTTTATATCATTAACGAAACTACATTCTTTCAAAATACAGGGTGGTCCAAAATTATCTTTCCTATTTCAAAATTTAATAATTAAAGAACTAAAGAAATACAACCATGCAGTTTACAACTTCTTCTAGCTCAACTCAAACAGTTTTTATGGACTAGATTTCTACATGTGCACCATTAGTGGCTCTCAGCACATCTAATCGATATTCGATTTCGGTCCACGTTCAGTAAGATGCCCACAGTTATAGTGGCGACGGCGTCCGTTTTCCTCGTTTTTATCTCCGTGATGTTTGCTATAGGTGTGCAATACACGATGTCCCTAACATATCCCCATACTTCTTTCTTCTACTGGCGTCTGTAATGACGCTCCACCACAGTCACTGACTTGGTCTCTGGAAGCCAATCCAAGCATTGAGCTTTTTTCTTGCACAGTTGACATTTTACGGGGTAATACTACTCACCGGAGTGGGAAAAAAAATGTTTTAGCTTGGCTACAAGATGATGAAAACTGCATGGCTGTATTTCCTTAGTTATATAATTATTAAATTTTAAAATGATCTTGCAGCCTCAACCCGACGTTACAGTTCATATCGCCACATCTGCTTATGCTCTATTTGACGGTAACGCATCTTGACAATAGTTCTGAAGCGTAGTTTCTATTGTAAAAGGCTCCATTAAGGCTGTCAAAAGCACATGTTTTCCAGCTCCCGTTTTGAATGTCCTATCGTGGCTTGGCT